GGGTTTAGGGTTTAGGGTTCCGTATTGGCCTGGGGTCCTCGCAAATTAGGGCTACCATTTTTGTGTACCCAGCAATCAGGATTGTTTTTTGGGGGTCTATATTGGGGTCCCCCCATTTAAATGGAAGCTACCGCTTCTGGTGAGATGGCTATGAACCAGAACTTGGGGTTGTCCCTGACAAGGATCATATCGGGGGACCATTAGTTGACACACATGAAGCTGAAACTTGCGGATCAACGTGCGGCACCAGTGGCCTACAAGCAAATGTTTGTCAATTTTTGAAGTCGGCCAAGTCAGATTCCTGCTCCTGCCATGTCCTGTTCGGATTTTGTATCCCTCAGCTCAATCCTAAACCTGAACCCCCAAACTCTAAGCTAGGCGGCAGGTACTATACCCCAGGCGCTAAACCCTGAACAGTCCAGCCCTTAAGCTCGACTTTGAGGGGTCACGGAAAGCGCCGGCTTATTCTCATCCCGTTGCTATGGTAAACTGGGTTTGGCCTGTAGGATGTTTGAGTTTGTTTGGCTTTACAGGGTACCCTTGCACGAATGTTACTCAGCAGGTGCTAAAGGCCTACCCAGTACAGCCCGGAGATTTACGTGCCAAATGTTTTCCTCTTGGCTGTATGATGAGAAAGGGCGGAAAGCAACGAGGCCGCTTCGTGTATGCCGTCTGGTGATGTTTTAGACATTTCGCCATGGCCCGGGCTTTGCAGCTTCGTCAGTTTCACGCTCGAATTTGCGGTCGCTCCACTTAAGAATCTGAAGCCAGCTGCGAGGTGTAGCAGTCTGTTGGTTCTGGATGGATTCTGAGGATCCATGCATACCTGCACCATGCTTCTGCAACAGTTGTCCATTCAGCTAACTCTTGTTCCGCCATTTGCTGCTGTTGCATCGTCAAATTTGGGTTCACAAAGCTTTTGCGAAATGGAGCAGCGAAATAGATGAACAGATCCACATCCCTCCGCGAACAGCAAGAGGGTCAGCAGTCTCCGATTTGCGCGATGAGCCTGAGATACTACCTCCCATGAAGCCACCCACAAAATCTTGACATAACCCCGGAAGTCAGGCCCAGCTAGGCAGCCAGGCTACTTGAAGCTGTCCAGGGACGCCATGCCGGGACAGCCGGGCACCGTGCCAGGAGCTCCTGTGCCACAAACACCTCCCACTCTGCCTGTTCATCAGCCGCTGTCACGCCCGGCGCCTGCGAAAGATGCCCAGCCGTCACCATCGAGTGCCTCGGCAGACATCTCAGAGACCTACTTATTCAGATTGATTAGATACAGTAGTTTCCATTTTCTTTTCCATTTTCCCATTATCCCAATATTACCTTGATTGATTAAAGCAGAGTTCCAGGAAAAAGTCATACGCCGACTTGAGCTCACGTTGTTAGAAGTACTTGAAAAAAAATGACAGACTGCTCGTGAGACTTTACTTCGGAGTTCAAATACAGCTTGTACGAGCTGCTATTCACGCGCGCCCACACGTACGCAGGCCCGCAAGCAAGAAGGGAACCCCAATATAGACCCCAATATAGTATAGTCCTTATTATGGGGACCCCCAAGAAGTAGGTACTCCTAATTTGGGGCACCAATGCAAGAGGGAAACAGGCAAGGTAAGGCAGGCGGCCACTGTCATCTCCAAGCATGCTGCTCCAAATTGCTGGGTTGCTGTTAAGGAACTTAATTTAAGTTACTATATTGGGGAAAGGCTATTACTTACTATATATACCCATTATGGCAAGTTAATTTAAGTTCCTTGACAGCAACCCAGATTGCTGTTGTGAATCGCCCAGGGGCGTTCCTAGGGCATCCTAGGGCTATTGATATGTGTTTTTTGCAGCATTATGGCAAAAACTATACCCTAGAATGCTACATGTAGCATGCTTACCAAGGGATGCCTGATAGGTGGTGTTTGTTGGTCTGTGATGCTCAGGAGATATCGTGGCATCCACGACTTACCCAAACGAGGCCGCAGACTATTTTGGTGAACTGTTTGCGCATCGCTTGCGGTGGGCGCATGCTGTTAACAGCCAGCGAATGTTGAGCACAGCTCTTGTTTCGAACTCCCATTTCCTGGAGGCAGACGTGTCTGCAGGACCCCTCGTAGAACAGAAGTCAGACCCCCTGGCGAAGCCAGGGAATTCAGGTGCCTCCAGGGTCTCTGTCACAGAAACCTCGGTTGTCACTTCTGCTGGCTTGCCAGTCATCATGGCACACTATCCCACACAGCGGTCGAGCGACCTGTGCTTTGAGCTCTTCATCGGAGCTGTGCTTAAACACAATGCGCATATTGATGGCGAGCTTGATGAAGAGCCTGCCGAAGCCAGCGCCTCTGCGGGACCTGGTGATGACGCTGCTTCACAAGGTGCTACTGCTAAGGAACAGGACCCAGAACATAGACCGCAGCGCTCGCCATTCTCGGAGCCCGTGATGCACGATCACCTGTTAGAGGATTGTCCTGAACGAAGTGCCAGCACCACACTCCTGGATCAACCAGCCTCTGCTGTGGTTCGACATGGAACCACTGCGGGCCAAGAGGCCGCCGCCTTCGCAGTAGACTTGCATCGCGACTGGAGCATTGTTGAGCACTGTTCTGCTTTGTTGCTTATTTCGCAGCCGCACAGGGAATTACTTATGCCGATGGTTCGCAACCTCTTTTCACGGACAAGAGTGCAACCGCTTTCTTGGGAACGGGAAAATCACAACGCTTGTGTTAAGAGAATTGTTCTGTAAGCGTGGTGTTTGGGGTTCAATCCGAATATAACCCTATTTTATACCCCCATGTAACCCCTCATATATACCTATATAACCCCGTATAACCCCATGTAACCCCTATATATCCCTACATCATCAGGTGAGCTTGAGAGCCTTGATCACGGCCAGATGATGATGGCATGCATCGGGGCCAGAAGAGGCGGGAGCCGTGTGGTGCGGCACACCTCCAAGAAAGGAGTGGCGGGTCATTGTTTAGGGTTTAGGGTTTAGGCAAAGCATCGATCATCATGGTTGATGGTAGGGCCGGCGGGAAGAAGTGAAAATTTGCAGCCATCTAAGTCAAAGCAGTGGTCGTGGACATCATGGTGATGAAACATAGGTATGGCTTGGGGGGGTTCCTTGGGCACTATCTTTTTGCAGTTGACCCATCTGCCCCCACCATAACCCAGGTAAAGCTGGACTTCAAGGTTTTTGAGTGTGTGGAGCCAGCACTGAGACACTTGCAGAGCATCGATGCTAGATTTTCCCTGGCATCTCTTTTGTTTCCTTCACTATGCTGGAATGTACAGCCTGCAACCAAGAAAGCTTCCCTGAATCCTGACCTGGACCTTACTTGCAGGGTCGGGGGGAACTTGGTAAGTAGATTCACAATTCGGATGGTGAGGTTTACGAATTAGAGGGGTTACTTGACCCTAAACCCTAAACCCTAAACCTACTTACCAGGTTCCCCTGGCCCTCCAAGTGAACTGTAGGATGCTGCAAGAAGACTGGGTGGCCACCTGTGGCTGAATGCTGATGTCTTTGCTGGGCCTGGGTATCCTGAGCGCTTTCTGTCCCCCATAGATGCGAGGCGCCTGCACTAAGCTGGGGGTTGACGTAAATTAGGGGTCCCTTTTCGGGGTGCTGGATCTGTGTATAGTGGGGTCTAAATTATTGGAGGACTTTCACTTCGGGAAACTACTTATACCGTCCTTCTGCATGAATAGAATGGGTTTCGAGCTTCAGTGCTGTATCGACTATGCAGGACACCTCAGTGAACGATGCTCCAGGTAGCATGTACCCAGGACGTTACATGACGGGTGCTTTGGGCTTCCTCAACGTGGCTCCAGAGTCACAAGCCGCAATCTACAATTCAACTGAAGCCGTTTGTAGATTTTGGATCTTCTTGTTTTTGTGGCTCTCAGCGGCAGAAGATGCTAGAGAAGTAAAAGCGCTGCCTCTCCTCATATAAAGCAACATGGGAGTGGCCATAAATGAGAAATGGACATCAGCCTCTTAAACCTGCAATCCCTACAGTTTTAAGTAGGCCCTGAACTGGCAGGAAATTCGTGCAGCTATGCGCCGAGCTTGTCCCTGAGGCGGTGCTGTCTTTGATCCTCAGCCAGCTCGGAAGCTGTGAGTACGGGGTAGCTATCAAAACAAGGCCTTCTGAAGCCCGTATAATCCTGGGTCGTTCAAGCTGCCAGAGCGCCCTAAATGGTAGTTTCCATACATAGAGCGACCCCATTATAGACCCCAGAATACTGCAATCCTTATTATTGGGACCCCCCAAAAAGTATCCCTAATTGTCGGAAACCCTCAAATCATTCAAGTTATGGCCAGGCTACCACTTACAGGTGTAGCTCCTCGGCTTACCCGCATGGATTGCACTAGTGTTCTGTGCATCTGAGTCCTGATTTCGATCAAGTAGACAGAAGATGGCTCTTGGGCCGTTTCGGATGCTATAGGGTTGTCAAAATTATGGTCCCATTTTGGATCCCTATTATAATATGGCACCTAATATTTAGGGTACCCAAAAAAGGATCATAATTTTAACAACCAGCCAATAGGATTCTGTTAATCACCCCACCGAGACCCCGCCAAAAAAACGATGAGTCGTGCCCGAGCGACCCCTAACGAAACGCATATTCTTGCTTTGGGCTACCTGCAGCGAGCCCCAACTCAGGCTTTCGAATCCCATTGCAGAATAGCCCACTGGACGCAGCGTTTTCCCAACTTATGGAACAGCCTCACCTGTCCCCATATATAAGCCTACCTACTAAATCCCTTTTAACTGAGATACCCGAAGCTTCCGGGACTGCCCAGGAGCTGGGGAAGCTCTATCCTGTCGGCAAGCAGGCCGAAAGGGCGGGTTTTAGGCTTAGCATTCAGGATTCTGTTTTTTGGGGTCGGTCTAGATCTAGTGTTTACAATTTCCTGTTCCATCAAATTGGCATGATACAGCCCATGTGTATTGGTCTGTCTTGAGAAACTGGACCCCAATTCCGGAGAACTCCCTGAACCCAAGATTCCGTATCGGGAGCAAAACCCATCATACAGACACCCTTCAATACCCTAAACCGTAAACCCTAAATCCTAAACTCTGAAATCTGCAAGCGTCAACAGTGTTGACACGCCCCAGCTCTCCCCGCGTTTTGTTCATCTATTGCCTGCTCTGAAATACTCGTATTGTTACTCTTATTGCTACATTTATTTCTATTACTGTTCGTATCATCAATGTTCTCATCATTCCTACTCTTGTTAGTATCGTTAGAGCTGCTATTATTTTGCATCACTTTCATTTTTACTATCCGTGTTGTTCTCATTAGTATTATCAGTATTGCCACTATTATTTCTGTCAAGGTTATTGCTAGTTTTCGTAGAATCACCGTTTTTGATACCGCCGTTCTTGCTCTCATTATCATAGTTCTACTTACTATGAGTGTTATTATGATTGCTATGAGCTTTCGGTTTTCAACTGCAGGCATTACACCATGGACATGGTCAACAGCTGCTCACCTTGAGGGAAGTGACACAACCCTCCCCCCCCAGATTAATATGGAACCGCCTTTAGAGGTGCATGTTGGGTATATGCTGACATGGAACCCCTGCCAAGGGGTATATAGGGATATAATGGTTTAGAGCCCCAAACTAACAAATCCCCTTTTGAAGGGTACTATAACGGGTTCAGAGCTTACGGTCTCCTACTAGAGAGTTGAAATGCGCCCAGGCATCCCGAGTAGTGAATGCAGCATCGGGACAGTTCTTGTAGCAGTAGCAGCAGCAGCGGCAGCAGCGGCAGCAGGAGGAGTAGTCGTAGCAGCCGAAGAAGGAAGCATGGCAATGATGATGAGGGGAGTGTGAGGATGGATATGAGTCAGCATTGTTTCTAGTGCCAGTCGCATGGCTTCCCCGCCAGGGCTACTGCTGATCTCTTTATTGACATTGGTTTTCCAGTGATTTTTTCGAAAGCCAAGGGATGATCGAGCTTTGCATGTCTCCAATTGTGCCGCGCTCCATGCTCTCCCCCACGTCGCGACCAACCGAGGAAAGCTAGAGTGCCACGCCATCAAGGCTTATAGAGTTTATACAACAAAAAATGGGCTTATACAGGCATATATATATATATATATGTATATGGGAGTGGAAAAGAACATGGTCTAAGTCTCCACAAAATTGGAGCTTTCCATTTCGGACATGTCTTTGATCCTCTTAAGAAGGGGATAGTAGCGCAACAGTCCCGAGGATGGTCTATGATTCTATGATAGTAGGGTTTTAGTTTAGGTGGACCCCCCACCCAGTAATAGTGGCTATAGGGGATAATGGGGATTATATTAGGGTCCTCTTATATTCCTATTATACCACTATTACAGGGTGGGGGGTCCTCCTAAGGTTTAGGGCTTTAGGGTTTATGGGCATCAGAGCGGCTGCTTGAGTTCGTTGTGCTGCCAGCAGTACAGTTTGACGGAGCAGCAGCAAGGACAACGAGAGCAAGTCATGCAGTCATGCAGCCTCTCCCCCCAAAAAGGGTTTATGGGCACGCCAGGGATAGAAAAGTGGAAAAGCAGGTCCTGCAGTTAGATTGCACAGGGTTGAGCAGCCATGGAAAATTCGAGCGTAGGCACGCGGGACTTCAGCGAACGGACCTTTCTCATCCTCCTTCTTCGTCTTCTTTTTACTGCAGTTTGGGGCACCCGAAATGCCAGAGCTTTTTGCAGCAATGATGCACAGTGGCCTTAACCCTCAACTTCAACCCCCCCTGAATCTTGAGCCCCAAACTCACCAAACTCCCGAAACCCAGAACTCCAAGCCCCAAATAAGGATTATGTCCCCCTATGTTGGGAAACTACCACCCTAAATAGTAGCTTCCATTTTCTTTTCCCTTATCCCGACATCATCCCAATTTACCCCGTAGAATCGGGGCCCAAAATTTCCCTACTTATAATCTGTAATTATCCTTACATAACCTTTAAACTTTAAACCGTAAACCCTACACCCTAAAACCTGAGCTATAGTGGTTTCCATTTTTTTATCCATTATCCCTGTATAACCCCAATATGTACCCTGTTATGATATAGTGGTTTCCATTTGATTTCCATTATCCTTGTATAAGTATGTACCGTGGTTTCCATTTCTTTATCTATTATCCCCATATAATCCCAATAGATACCCTGTAATCCCTATAGATATACCCTATATAATCCCTAAATTATCTCTATACATTCCCGAACATTATCCCTACAATAATCCCAATATATTGCCTCAACAATTCAAACCCTAAACCCTAAACGTGTAGGACTCGGCAAGCGAGCCCAAAGCAGGAGCAGAAGCGGAGCAGGAGTTTTCCCCCAAAGATGGAAAGTATTCAGGGTTTAGAAGGGTTTAGGGTTTAGGTTTAGGATTCAGGAGGGTTTAGGGTTTAGGGCTAGGGTTTAGGAGGTAAAGGGTAGGGTTTAGGAGGGTTTAGGTTTAGGGTTAGGGTTTTAGGGTCTAGGGGTGTGGGGGCTTCCAAAACTGGGAGGCGGGTGGTGGTCCTTTTCCAGGAGTCCTCATATGATGAAGGATTGCAGTTGGGCCAGGATTTTTGGGATCTATATGGTGGCCAACTTTGTATGGAAGGCCCCATACAATCCCAGTAACCAAAAAGGGTTTCCCTATTCTTTTCCGCTCCCTCACGCCCTGCTAGCCACCCTGAAGTAGACGCTGAACCTTATACATTCCTGTAAACTCCTACATCCCTGCGAGCTCATAGGTTCCATTTCATTTTCAATTTAATTTGCCATGATTGGGTTCATACATCCCTGACCCTATATACATGTATTTGAGCCTGGATAACCGTATAAACCCTATATAGCCCCTATAAATTCCCTAAGCCCTAAACCCCATAAACTGCAGGCCCTTATCTTGTGGTTTCCAATGTTCCGTAGAGGGACCTGGCAGGTTTCGAGAATCCTTCTCTTGCTGTACATTGTTCCGCCACGTTGAATTGGGTATGATGATATGATATGTTTTGTGATTGCTTAACAAATGAACGAAGCAAATTATTGGTACCAGGAGCCCCGAAGCCCTAGGTTGAGCCCTAAACACTAAGCCATGCACCCAAAACCTACAAACCCCATAATCAACCCAAAGCCCCATATAAGCCCTAAACTTAAGAACTTGCAAACCCTATACGCAGTCGTACGCCATAAGCCGTAAGTGGAAGCTGGAGCTCTGACTGCTGCTGCTTCAGGATGGAGCTGGGCAATCCCATTCCCCAGTTGAAGAGCACGAGAGCAAAGGCCATGGGAGCCATGTTTCTGGTCCTAGGGTTTGGGACTCCGTTGGGTGTTGGGTTTTGTTGTGTTGAAGAGGGAATCATGGAATCGGAAGGAAAATGAAAATTATTAGATTGTTGAGGAGTATATGGGGAATTTCACCTGCGAAGTCCTGCTGAAGTCTTAATCACTACGCTGGTGAGCTGTAGTTTGAACCAATCATGCATCATGGCAATGGAAACTGCTATGTTCTCGGGCAGTATACGGGGCTCCCATAAATAGTGGGCCCTAGCATAATGTCAACATTTCTTAAAGCCCTCAGTATGGAGATTTGTTAGTAAGTCTATAGTCCTCCTTAAGTAGATAGAATATGGGGTATATGGGAATCGTCTTATAATATACCCAAAGCCATATTCTATCTACTTAAGGGGGACTATACCCCTAAACCCTAAACCCTAAACCCTAAACAGTAG